AGGCCAGTGAGAATCCCCTCGTCGTGCGGGCATACCACCCCCAGCTTCTCAGGCCAGTGAGAATCCCCTCGTCGTGTGGGCGTAGCATCCCCAGCTTCTCAGGCCCAGTGGAGAATCCCCTCGTCGTGCTGGGCATTAGCACCCCCAGCCTTCTCAGGCCAGTGAGAATCCCCTTCGTCGTGTGCGGGCTATAGTAATCCCCCAAGCTTCTCCAGGCCAGTGAGAATCCCCTCGTCGTGTGGGCGTCCGTAGGCACCCCCAGCTTCTCAGGCCAGCTGAGAAGACTCGCCTTCGTCGTGCGGCATTCCGTATCCCCAGCTTCTCAGGGCCGAGTGAGAATCCCCTCGTCGTTGTGGGCGTAGCACCCCCAGCTTCTCAGGCCAGTGAGAATCGCCTCGTCGTGCGGGCATTACCACCCAGTTCTCCTGCCAGTGAGAATCCACTCGTCGTGTTGGCGGAGCATCGCCCCAGCTTTCTTCAGGGCCAGTGAGAGAATCCCCTCGTCGCTCAACAAACCTCATTCTGGGCTGCAGAAATCATTTAATTGATCGTGTTTTGAGTGTGCGACGGCCTACAGAGAGCGTGTGACGGCCTTATTCTGCAGTCTCCTCTGAAGACTATAGCATAACCCCGTAGTCTTCAGAGACCGTGTGGTGAACCTGAGAATATGCTCGCATTTTCAGCACGCATGGAGTTTGACCTTATTTTCACTCACTTCTCAGTGTAAGTGCGCCAGTTACTACCTGTTATTAGTTGACCACACACTTGTCGCGTCGTTGCAGAGGTAGATAGACGTCATCGAGTGGGCGCAAAATGGCCCCGATGCCGGCGCGCCCTAAAAAACCAAATCACCACCACCAGAGAAGCCTTAGTCTGGGCAGGGGCCTGAGCCTTGATGACGAATGAGCCTCTCGCTGGAGTTTCGATTTCTTGGTTACATGGATTGCAGACGACCTGAATTCGCTTCGACCGCCAACGACGCTGATTTTCTGAATGAAGCGTGCTGGTCCTGTGGCGGCACCGGCCGGCACGAGCCGGACGAGCCGTACGTATATTTAAAGGCGCTATCAGAGGACCGGCGTGACGTCAGCGTCAGCGTCAGCAATGGAATCGGCGGGCCGTGGATCAGAACTGCCTTGAGCCTGAGGCAGGCAAGGCTCAGCAGGGCCGGCAGGAAAATCAGGCGCGCGCGGGCCACCAGATGTGTCGTCGATCAAGTCTGAGCACAAAACGTCAGCGACCGAGTTTTGAACAGTGTTAAACCCGTAGGGGTTAACAAACAAAAAACAACAACAAAAACAAAAAACAAAACAAAACAAAACAAACAAACAAATTTGTATTTACTACGATTCACGCCCCAGGCGGTAAACTATAAAACCAAGGACATCAGAAGGGTAAAATATGGCTTGAAAACGAGAGCGAGAAAACGTGACGACAAAGTGTGAGCAGTGACGGCGAGGAAAAGGGGAAAACCCGGACACCCAGGCAAAACGACTGCTTGGCCAAAACCACGATCATTTTATTTTCTGCATCGACGTTCAATAATGAAAATCCAACGCACACGTACGCTTGCCACCAAATACAACCTGATCGTTGATCTAAGTTTATATCGCTCGGATGTTGATAGCAGTCACCCCGGACGCCGCCGGTACAATTTATGATAAACACAATTACCCGATGTTTGCCCTCCCCTGGCGTTGCTCGTCTCGTATCCAGCTTCAACTTGTTCCGACCGAGATACGCCGAGATAATTTCATGCTGACCAATTTTGAAAGCAGTCCAAACAAATGAAAAAGGACTTGTAAGGCTTCTATAAGTTTTCTACCCTTTTCTATCCCAATAATGGCATCAATGAATTATTTCGCCGTTGAATCCTGTTTCCATGTTGAAAGACAAACTACCCAAATGTACTGTCTCTGCAGCCGTTTATAAATATTGGTGTGCTTCGCGGGGAGCTTCGTACGTGGGCCAACCCAGCGCAGCCTGTACTGCAAAGCAGTGAGTGTAGACATTTTTTGGGGTCTGACCATCCAGGAAACATCCTCTCCAACACAGACACTCGGCCCATCCGGGATTATTCATCTGTTCGTGGCACTCACTTAAGCACTGCCAATTTTCCCGTCTTAGAGCAACGCAGCAATTATCTAGATCTCAAGGTTTTAGGACCACTCCATATACACCAAAAGAAGTCTCCGCTAAATATCATGTGCTTTGCATATCCCATGCAAATAAATTAGGACTTTCATATTTTTCTCCAGTATGGCGACCAGGAGATCTTTCGTTGCGCGACTCTGCACTATTTCAAGCTGCCCTGTTTGCATACGCATCTAATTGTGCCAACGTTTTATCATGGTCCTGATGTATGTGCATAAATGCCTGAATACCACATATCTTGCCTGGCACAAGCACTATAGGTACCTATGCAATGTCTGCCTAATTCGAGACCCCTAAACGGCAGGGCAGATGACAGACACCTTTAGAAAATTGGAGTAGGCTTCATCCAAGTTCTACGCTGGTTACAACAAGGATGTCTGCTTGCACGCAACGGAGGCTACAGGTTAGCACATATCGGCGCCCACATCACCCCTTGCGTCGTTTTTTGACCAATTAAATCTGGCCAGATCGCATCGAACTGGAAAAGCCGCAGTTGGAGACTCAGCCGCGATTCCTTTTTTGAGACTAAGTCCGGAAGAACAAAGCGGACGCACAATTGTACAGAAAATCAAGCCTTTCTCCACTAACCACAACGCAAGTTATTTGACCAAGATGACGGCTACCACCTGTCCGTCATGTCACCTGTCTGTCTGTCTCGAGCTCCACCTTTGTCGCTCGTCTCCCCCCCCCCCCCCCCCAGTTCAGATGCGGCACTGAGCTCCACTGGTCAGCTCAGTTTTTGAAATTAAAGTGACGCAGCGCGCGACGCCACGCCCGGAACGCCAGCATCAACACTGACATGGTATTGGAAGCCGACGTCAGCACTATGGTATCGGAACGCCAGCGTCAGCACTGATGACGTCATATCAGCGCTCAGGGCTACAGCGCAAACGGGTTTCGAGACCGGGTCTCCCCGTGGGGGCCCGGTTTAAGGCGCCAACCACTCGATCATTGTCCCCACGGCCGACGCACCCTGCGGGCACGCTGCTGGTGGGACAGCTCCGCTGCGGCGTCGAGTAATGTGTCATCGTAGTGTATCCGGATGAAGCTGAACGCGTCAGAGTCTTAGACGAAAGCGGTAACTTGATGTCCGATTTTGATCGCATTTTCCAAATCGCAGCAGTGTCTGCTGCGATACATTGTGCGTACTTAACGCTATAGAGCCCAAATTATTACCATTTCGACAAAACCGAAATCAAACGCCGCGAAAAGGCCTTGAAACCGATAGAAGCCGCGTCAACTTGCAAATGGAATGCTCTTCTCCTTGTGATGCGAAGTACGCAAAGTGTGTTCACGAGATGAAAATGAAACACCACAAACATATTCGTAAAATACATTTCACCATCAATGATCCACCGCCCACCACCAGAACTGCCACGCCCATGAATCGATACACTTCCGAGCAGTGGCACCATAAAGCTTTTTCAGACGACGACTGTAGCAGCACCCACAGAAACACAGCGGCTTACACGATAAGCTCAAACACATTCTCCCAGGACCGTATAGCACGTCGAGAAAGCACCAACATTGATACTCAGAATGGAATGACAAAGAAGAGCGAGTTCCATCGCAGTGCCTTCCTATCTCCCAAATCCTTGCCATTAACATACGATGAGAGTTTATCTGACTATGATGAAACCGCTGCCTGCTAGCAAGCATTCAACTGACCATCCACGGAAAAATATAACAATATTTAACAGCTGTCATAAAACAAAGAAATAAGTGCAACGAGCACCGCCGGAGATCAATCACAACAGGAAGGAACCGGATACAACTCTTCAACTATCACGACTAGCGGCCACTTAAACAGTCCTCACATAAAGCAGAGGCGTTCAGCCCCGGGCGACATCCATCGGCGACCAGACCACACCCGGTCCAGCGCACCAGCAGCAGTCGGTAGGGCTACACAGAGAGCCGGCCGGCCACAGCCGGACCCTTCTCCCCCCTCCCCTTCAGCCGTGCGCTTGGACTCAGCCTGGCAGCATGGGGAGACCCGACCGGGCAGCACCGGGAGACCGGGTGGCATCGGGAGACCCCACCTGGCGGCATCGGGGTACCGGGTGGCATCGGGAGACCCGACCGGACAGCATCGGCAGACCCGGGCGGCATCGGGAGACCGACAGCATCGGCAAGACCGGGTGGCATCGGAGACCCCGACCGGGCCGGGCCGCGCGGCAGACCGGGCCGGCAGCATCGGCAGACCGGGCCGGGCCGCGGCGGCAGACCGGGCGGGCCGCGGCGGCGGCAGAGCCCGCGTCTCTACATCCGCTGGATCTCGAACAGCTTCACCTCCGTGTCGAACCAGATGGGCGGCTCGACAGTTCCTGTGCAGAGCGCGGACAGACGAACGTCAGTGAGAGTGCTCGCGCCATGGAGTGCGTTCAGGCTAGGCTGACGACGCGCGGCACCGGGCGGGGCGGACGCGCCTTCTTAGCGCGGCCGTCAGCGACCCCCCCCCCCCCCCCCACTGCCATCCCTCACACGTCAAACGGCTCGGCTCGTGCCGACGCGGCTCCAAAAGCGCCGAATGCCTGCCGGCAATGCAGCGGTCGCAGCCCGTCCCTGATTTCTGTTCGCGCGGGTGTCAAGAGCTCGCGCGCTGGCTCCGAACACGCGCCCCGTCACGGTCATCGCACACACCCACATGCACGGCGAAATGGGTCATCCCGTACGACTCACGCCTCGCAGCTCCTGATCCGCAACAAGAAACAACGCCTACCGCCGACGTGCTGCGGCAGCATACACCTCATTCAACACAAGGACCGGTGTGCGACGCGCCGCCTCCGCGCACCGCAGCGCGCCGCGCCGCCGCGATAACCCGACGGCCGCGGCGGCCGGCCGGCGGCTCACCTGAGGTAGATCACGCCCCACATGTACGTGCGGAACCAGAGCGTCGTGCCCGAGTTGGCCTGGTACTTCCTGATGAGGATCGGGTGCGGCACGGGCAGCAGGCCCACCAGCGTGCCGTGCTGCAGGAACTTCAGGATCTCGCTCTCGTCGGTCAGGCCCCTGGCGCGGGCCGGCCCGTCAGGCTCACCCGCCGGCGGGTCGCGGGCACGCGCCGGGCGGCCGCGGTGCGGGGTCGCCGCGGCGGCGACGGCGGAGACGGCGCACGACACCGCGGCACAAGCGGCCGGCTCCTCGCCGCAGCGGACGCGGCATCGGGTCCTCAACACGCGCGAGGGTGGATGCTGGGTACTCCCGCTTCTACACAGATCGGGACGACGGGCAGGGAAATTATCTCTCCCCCCCTCCTCGCAGTTAACTGTTGTTCCTGCTGCTCCCGACCTTGTATGCGGTTTCCGGTCCCGTATTACATTCAACATAACATTCAAATCTTATATAATGTAATTATTGAATAACATACAACACAATATTTGAATATGATATAACATCACAGCTGAGTAGCATATAACATAATATCGGAACATTCTACTGTTTAACATACATCTTAATATTTTTCGACATAATATTGGAATATTGTGTGTAATATAGTCTTAAATATGATGTTACCCATATTACGCATATTACTTCCGGCCCCCAACCACGCTCCAATTGCTTCAGTCAGCGAAACCATGGTCACGCCCCCCTTCCTATGAGCGAGACCAAACCCGCGCAGCCCGCCTGTTTAACGGAACGGTCGGGCGTCCGTGCGATAACACATGGGCAGGGGCCGCATCAGCCACCGGACCATCCCCCCCCCCCGTCCTCGCGGCGCTGCCTGCTGTGAATCATGCTTACTCACAACGTGAGCGGGGGTCGCGACAGGTCCCCCGCCCTCGCGGCGCCGCCTGCTGTGAATCATGCTTACTTGTCGATGCAGATCTTCTCCACCTGGGGCACCAGCACCTGCAGCAGGCGCATGATGGTCTGCAGCGGCAGCTTGTTCTTCCACGAGTTCACCCACTGGCCGGAGGGCGTCCAGCGCTCGGCCGGCGGCCGAGCCGCCGCACCGGCCGCCGTCGTCACGGACGACCGCTGACTAAGCGGGGAGCCCGGCTGTGGGCGGAGACCGGGGCGTCAGAGGGGTGTCGGAGGGGGTGTCAGAGGTATCAGGGGTGTCAGAGGTGTCAAATGTGTCAGAGGGGGTGTCAGCGCAGGTTATTGACGGCCGCCGTCTGCGTGGGGAGCCCGGCTATGCACAGAAATAGGGGTATCGGGGGGGGGGGGGGAGTCAGGGGTCGTAGGTGTCAAGGTGTCAGAGGTACCATGAGGTCAGAGGTGTCCGAAGGGTCAGAGATGTCAGAGGGTCAGGGTGTCAGGGGGTCAGAGATACCAGGGGGTCACAGGTGTCAGGGGGTCAAAGGTGTCAGGTCAGAAGTGTGGGGATCAGATAAGGCAGAGGGCCAGAGATGTCAGAGGGTCAGACGTGTCAGAGGGTCAGATGTGTCAGGGGCCAGGGGTGCCAGGGGGTCACAGGTGTCAGGGGTCAGAATGTCAGGTCAGAAGTATCAGGGATTACAGGTGTCCGAGGTGTCAGAGGGTCAGAGGTACCAGGGGGGTCACAGGCGCCAGGTGGGTCAAGGGGGGGGTCAGAGAGGATGTCAGAGAGGTGTCAGGACAGGTTACCGACACGCGCTGTCCACGTGGAAAGCCCGGCCGTGGGCGGAGACAGCGGAAATTACCGCGGACTGCCCCGCCCCGCCGCTGGCCCGAGGGACCCGTCAGTCCCGGCGAGCAGGGTCGACGCGGGTGACCTTTCAACCGGAACCTTGCATCTAAACCAAGCGTTTTTTGGATGGATCCCAGCTCACCTGCCAAGCTGAACAGCCCTTTATTTCTCCAAACTTTCCCGCAGGTTGTCAGCCGCCACAGTCGTGCAGCGTGTCTTGGGCCATCGTACGTGCACAAAGACTCGGAGACAGTAGAACCCCCCCCCCCCCCCCTACAAGGAGACCCGAGTCAGGGCGATCGCCTGCTAGTTGAACCATCCTGTGATTTAGAGCGAGGCCCGCGTGCCTTGAACAGCCCTGACGCAGCCGTTTGTCCACAGCACGACTGTAGCATTCCCCAGCGATTCCCGGTCTGGCTCGCGTAGCACGTCTAACTTAAGCCTAATGTGCGTGATACGCGTGTGATGGGTATACTCACACCACCCGACATCTTTACAGCAAAAGGCATAACCGGCGCATGCGTGCACAGACCACAGGGCGGCACGCGGCAACCCGTCAACACGCCTGATGCGAAACACCAGCATTCATTGAGAAATATGTCAGCCTTGGACTGGGTTCGCTGTCTGCGGTATGCTTTGACCAGGCTCAGGTTCAGCGTTGTCCGCGGCCCCTGACCGGGCCCTTCGAACACGTCACCGGGGCTCATGCGTATCCGGCTCTGTCCGGCTCTATCCGGTGTCATTGGCCACCTAGGTGAGCTACATTGGAGCAGCCGGGCGGGCAGCGTTTAACACCAGCGCTGATTGTATGAAGGCGGAAAAGAACGCATGGCGAATGCGATATGAATTATAAACAGAGCGCATCACAACCGGTAGCAGTTAAGGTGAGCGCTACATTTAGCGAACCGCTTTCCCTCAGGGCATCCCTGACCCGACATTATGTCGTCCGTTGGAAGAGGTCATTTTGGTGACTATCTGAGTCAGTTCTGCTCACGCCAAGGCCATGTCTGGTTACGGGGATCTGTTGCCGGACACGAAAGGGCGCCACGCCGTCTGCGACCACCGTATCAGTCCCAGGCTGAATGCTATCAGCTGTAGTACATAATGGCTCTGCTCAACCCGGAGCTCGGGCCGCACGCCTGATACGCCGGAGTGCGACCCAACGCTGCCGAATAGCGCCTCCCGGGCCGGCATTTACCCTCGCAGCCGGACCATTGCGGTCATATCGCGTTCAGGCTACATTCCGTTGGCATTAAACGCCCGCCGATGATCCGGGGAGAGCCCTGCACGGTTTCGCACGCGAATAACGCGGCTACGCACCGAATCCGATTACCTTTGGGCTCTGCATTGCTGCGTTATGCATACAGCGAGGAAGCACTGAATGCGTGGAGACGCAAAAGCTGCAATGACGAGTAGTTTTGTTCCGTTAAATGCTGTGCCTCATTTTGGACGCGCTAACTAGCAGGCTGTAGTCACGGCAAGTTCCTTAAGAGAAATGCTTGTCCCAGCTAGATGAGAATGGACGATGACGCCCCACACCTGGCATAACGTGCATATGGGTTTATGGTATGAACGCCGACGCGCACCGAAAATGTAATACTGTTCCCAACAAACAGTTCAGATTGGTCACCAAGGTGAGCTGCAATAGAGCAGCCGGGCGAACAGCATTTTAACACTGGCGCTAGTTGTTGTGCTAAGGCGGATAAAACGCGTTGCGAATGCAACATGGATTATAAGCAGAGAGCAACATAACGTATTGCTACATTTAGCAAGCCACTCTCCTTCAGAGCATCGCTGAACATATTATATATCCTATTAAATTCCTACATCCGTCAGCAGAGGTCATTTCGGTGACAATCTCCGCCAGTTTGCCTCAGGCCAACTCCCTGAACGTCACTCGGGTCACTGAACAGTTGAATACACAAACATTAGTCGCCAGCTGGTGAAACCACCGACGCTTCAGTTCAAAAGACGGGGCATTTATCAGTTTTCCGATGCGTTTTGATTAACTGATCCACCTTTTAGCGAAGAACAGCCCGGTATGGTAGCTACCGTGGTGTTGTGTTGAGTTGGTTGGGCAAATGACGCCATTCTATGGATAATTGGTTGCTGAAAAGTCATTTGTCGTATTTATCCCTCGCACGTAAATCCGTCATATGCTGGTACTGATGAATCTTAGTGCCGGGGGGAGGGGGGGGGGGATGAATCAAGTATCCATCTCTGCATTCTCCCCTTCCGAGATCCAAGATCCACCAACAAAGCACTCGGGCACTTCTAATTCCAGGTTTAAATCGTGCCCGGTGTGCAACAATTCATGCACACTAAACAGCATTGATTTCGCGAGGATCTGGTAAGGTCTGGCTGAAGACTCCCGCAATGCAAACCGGAGAACAGGACCAGAGGGACGTGGCAAGCGAGGGAACGCCGTCGCGTCGCGGCGGTGTCTGGCTGACCTGCGCGGCGGACGAGGAGGCGGCAGACTCGGCCGGCGCGTCGCTGGCGCCCTCCTGCGGCCGCGAGACGGCCGCCGGCTCGCTCAGGGTCAGCTCAGCCAGGTTAGCCGGCTGCGGGTGCGCCGACTCCTTCTCCGTCATCGAGTCGATGCCTGCGCAAAGCAGCACGCGGACTGGGTCAGTGGCAGTCCCCTGATCAGAGACTACGCACAGGCAGGCGAATACTCAGAAGTTTACGACGGAATTGGGGAACGGGGCAGCTGAAACCCGTAAGTGCCAGCGCGCGCAGTTCGGGCGTCGACATTGGACCTACCTCCTGCATATCGACCTAGGTCAGCCTCCGGAGGCTCACACCACCGTCCGCGGCCCAAGCACACGAAGACGTGCTCATCGCAATCCCAGGGAAACGGACCCGCACCACACCAACCCCGTCAACGTCCCGTCCACGCATCCCACGAAGACGTGCTCATCGCAATCCCAGCTTAACAGATCCGCATCGCACCAACCCCGTCAACGTCCCGTCTACGCATTCCGCGGCATGCGCCTTCACCAGCTCCGCGTCAGGACCCCTCCATCGCAGACCGCGTGAACTTCGAGTTCCCCAGCGCGTCCACAGATGGCTCTGCGCGCACTCACGCGGCGTGGCGGCCAGCGTGGCTTTGAGCAGCGTCGGGTCTGGCAGCAGCCCGTCTGCGGGCGGCGCGCGCGAGCCGTCCAGCGACGCCTGCCGCGACGGCTCGCTCTTGGACCTGCACGGAGAGCGGCAGAGGAACAGGGTGAGGGCGAGAGGACGGACGGCCAGCGCCGGCCTCATCCACAGACGCGAACAGCCCAGTCTCAGCACCGACTCGTGACCTGCTCTCCCCGCCAAACGCGCGCGTGATCCACCCCTCCTGACGCGACAATCAGTCGCGAACACTGACGACGTCCCGCTGTGGACACACCGACTCGGTCAACACACGCCTGCCAGGCAGACGTACCAGTAAGAGCACACCTTGAACACGCCGGGCGATGACCATCCAGGCCAGGCATGCGATGCCGCGGGACTGGGCCGGTATCTCAACGTCCGCGCCGACAGACCGCGACACGCGGCAATGAGCGGCACCCTGAAGCGCACACGCGGCGCACAGCCTGCCACGCGGGGCAACATCGCGCCCAGCCCTCCGAGCCCACCGCCAGCGGGCCTGCACTGCGACTCTGCCAGCGCCGGGGCTCGCAGGGTTGGCTCTCGTGACGTCACAGCAAGCCTCAGCGGCCAACCCGCCCCCACTCGTTCCCTCGCTCCCCCTCCCCCCCCCCCCCAGTCCACACGCGTGCGTGCTCCAGCCGACCAGCCCACGGCTCGCTCGTGCAGCGGTGTCCAATCCCTACGGCAGACCCCGACCGTGGAAGGGGGGGGGGGGGGGTACAGGTGCATCGGCGTCGAGGCCATTCCGCAAAGCAGCGGCCGGTCTATCACCGACTATGCTCCGCAGGAAGGCCGGCACATCAGCGCATGAAACACAGGGCTACGGTTCAAACATCCGTCTTCGCTCCGCCGCGCGAAGCAGACCGGGGTCGGCAACGCGGTCGGCAGAGCCGACCGCGACACGTACCGCTTGCTCAGGGACTTGTCGATGGCGCCGTGGTCGGTCGGCAGGTTGGCCAGCGCGTGGAACACCTGCCGCTTCCTGATGATGGTGTACACCAGGTTGGAGTTACCTGCCGGGGAACGAACCACGTCATTCGCAGGAACGCGGAGACCGAAGAGCGACACGCACGGGCGGGTTCCGGGGAGCACCTGCCGCGCCGCGGCCGGCGGTGAGCACACGTGACCGTCTGCGCAGCACGTGAGCCGCGCCGCCCAGCGCTGCAGCGGCGCGGCTCCTCTGCCGGCCCGGCGCTGTAGCGCCGCCCGGGGAGCAGCCAGGTCAGAGTGCAGTCAGACCAGGCGACCTTGCGGGGCAGCGACGGCACCCGGACCGGGCGCCGCCCCGTCGCCGCCCCGGCCTCGACGCTTGGATTCGGTGCGTGAGATACACCTCACGTCATTACGCCTCCCTCGCCATCCCCCACCCGGTGCAGGACGACGGTAGTATTACCACGTCCGCGCCAGCAGACTGCGACACGCGTCAATGAACGGCGCACTGAAGCGCACACGCGGCGCACAGCCTGCCACGCGGGGCAACGCGACAGGCTGTGCGCCGCGCCGTCAGATGCCGTAACGACACCGACGCCGCTTGTGTCGCCACGGCGGCTGGGAAACGGTCCGACCCCCTTCACGCACGGCCCGCTAATGATGGCCACCCAGGGGTGATGACCAACACGCTGGCCCGACCCGAGCACGGGGGTCGGGTCAGCACTGAGATGATGCACGCGCGGCTGCACCGGTTCTTGGATGGCGCGTGCCAACGCGCATTTGTACGCATCGCAACTCTACGCAAATCATATGCTACACGGGGTTGATCGAAGCAACAAGCAGCGCGCGAGGCGCCGGGTCGGAGAGCCGGAGGACCAACGCACGAAAGGCGCGAGGGAGTGAACTCACCGTCGAATTGGTACTGGATGATGTTGTTGAAGATCTCCAGCAGGAAGAAGACCAGGTGGTGGTTGTTGGGCGCCGAGAACAGGAACCAGGGCGTGGTGAAGGCCTCCAGCAGGTGCAGCAGCTTGGTGGCCGACACCATGGACAGCGTCTTCAAGTACGGCGATACTGCGGTGACGGACTCTGACGTCAGCTCCGAGGGCGGGCGGAGTGGCGCGCCGCGACCGACGCCGGGGTCGAAAATCATCGCCAGGGATAGCGGCGCAGACCGAGAGCGTCAGAATCGCACGCAGGAGCTCACAGCGTCGAGGGTTTCGGCTGTAACAGCTTTGAGCGGCTGCGGCTACCTAGTTCGGCGCTCTCACGGGACCCAGCGGCGCTTCAGTGACGGTCACACAGCGACACCTGCGTCACGAGCGACACCAGACTGGCCCTGCTCGCGGTCGGAGCCACCCCAGTCGCGACCCCAGCTCGGTGGCCACCCCAGTCCGGCGGCCACCGAGCTGCGACCAACGCTGACCCGAGCGGCGCGGTAAGGCGCGGCACCACCTCCAGCCGCACCGTTCCAAACCAGGCAACCCGTCCGGTACGAAAACATGGGGACACCGTCCCAGGGATGGTCTCCACACAGGGATGCACGCGAATGACGGCTGCGGACGTCTTACGCGTCAGATTAACGACGCTACAACACTATGTGAATCCCACCAGGGCTTCATGTGAGCACGAAATGTCCACGTCTCTCCCGAGTGCTTGTTTGTTTGTTCATTGGAGTTTTCGGGCGCGTCGACTGCAGTCCCTCCCGAGTGCGTGAATTCACGAGGAAGTGGGGCGCGTCACGTACCGTTAACCAGGATGGTGAGCAGGCAGTCAAACAGCGGCTGCAGCCTCTGGTGGCCGGTGGTGATGATCTTGTGGAACACGATGATCAACAGGTCGCCATGGGTGCCTGCCACGCCAGGACGCTCAGACACGCACGGAATGACAACAGAGGCAGGTAGGTCTTGGTCGCCGCAGAGGCACACATATACTTTATACAGCATGACAACTTACGCTGAGTTATGAGTGGTATCGCGTGCATTCATAAGCCCTGCTTACAACGCAGGGCAAATGCAGGTTCAAGTGAATGTGACACCACCAGCAAACATGCCATGCAACTCTTTTTTACAATGCCGACCACGCGAGTGGAACCTGTTGTAACATCCCAACTCCCAGACCCGCAAGTGGATCATATCTTTCCTAAACCGCGTTAAAACCATTGCCTTTGCATTCTTTTAGGATTGCTTCCGTGCCACGCTCTGCTGCTGACAACACTGAATAAGATTCTGCAAGAACTTGGATAGAACATTACGTGTTACCAAGCGTTAAGCCAAATACTCTTGAATCATTCCCGTTGGAAAGCAAACTTTGTCAGTGTTTATCACTACAACCTCACCTATAAAAAAATGACACAAAGTTATCAAATTGGGGACGCCCACCGAAAACAAGCCTCCAAAAACGCCTGGGGCGGACCGCACGGCAGCGCACCCCCACCAAACACCGTCCACAAGTGGCGCACCGCCTGCACCCCAGCCCCCCCCCCCTCCCCCACGCACGCACGCGGCCGGCGACATCTACCCCACGACACCCGCTCGCGACGAGCAGAGCCCTTTCACAACGGCTATCACCGCAGAACTCACACCTGCTGCACCTCGCATCCCCCCCCCCCCCCGGAGACAGGATGCGGCTCCCCTCCCCCGCGCGGCGTCCGCGCCGCGCCGTCCCCCGCAGCGAGGCCGCCACCTCGCCTCGCCGCGCTGCCCGCCGCCGGCGCCCCACCCACCGGAGAAGACCGGCACGTCCATGGCGACGGCGGCCGTGTACGGCTTGTTGAGCCTGACGCCGAAGTTGCGCTCGCCGCTGAGCAGCAGCAGGATGAAGACGCCGATGTGCATGAGGCCGACGCGCGCCGGGTCGGCGCGGCACTCGTTCAGATGGTACAGGATCGGCACCGTCACCTGCAGCACCTCGCTCGACTTCAGCACGAAGAACAGCAGCTTCTGCGGGCGAGGGAGGGCCGGCGGTCAGGGGGCGATTGGCGCCGCGCGAGGGGTGGGGGCGGGGGGAGGCTATGGGGGATGACGATGACGACGACGATGACGATGATGACGTTGAGATGAGGCTGGGAAGGAGCCACGTTCTGGACACGAGTCAAGAGGGCCACACTGACGACGACGATAACTGGGGGGTTTGGGGCGCACCGACCATGATGGTCACTTCGTGCCCGGACTTAGGACAAGGCGTCTGTCTCCCACTCACTGTGCAACAAGAACGGTGTACTCATCACTGTAACAACGGAACACAGTTAAGGCGAAAGACATCTCCTCTTTTGATGGGCTAGGAAAATACGCCCGCACCAATGCAGAATGCTCAGCTCTCCGTTATGCAATCACCGTTTCCAGCATCAGACATAAACATATCCGTAGATACCAGTGTTCCAATTCTGCCAAGAGAAAGCATCACAGTTTCCCCACGATGAGTCACGTGATCGTCCCCCATCAGACACTCAACCATTCGTTAACATGTGCTATTAAAAGTAAACATGAATACCCACTTTTGATGGGCAACTGGCTGCGATGTGGGCGTGGGGCATCCGATAGTCGGGCAGTCGGGCCTGTTACCGGCGCCGTTATGTGCACTGGGCAGGCACGCCTCCAAACGTAGTGCAGGGCTCACGTCTCCCACGCGCAATCGTAGTGCGAACTCACCTTCCCCAAGGTGCGAACGTAGTGTGAGCTCGCTGTTACCATAGTGGCAATGATTCTACGATTGTTTCGACTTTTGCATTTGAACAAGCGTCAAAGGTTACACATTTTCCTGAAAATGAAGTAGTGGCCTGTGTCATCGTAGGGCAGTGATCTGCTCTGACCTTTAAGAAGTTCATGAGAGGTATTTGTTGCAGGCCCTGATATTAATAAATTCGAAAAGAGCACCAGAAAATACCCCGTACAAGCTCTCGAGTAAAAAGGCAAGCTAATTTTGATTTCGGCCTGACCTTCACAACTGACCCTAGGCCATTGGAACTTGTTATTCCATATTCAGTGGTTTCATTGCATTAAAAACACTCCGCTGTCGTATCAAATTGAACGATTTCCCAGATTGCCTTCTTTTGGCCTGTCATAGGTCAGCGACCTTATCACTTACATATAATTTCTTACGCCAAAAAATCCGCTATTCAGTTGCTTACAGCTATGCAGAGGTTGGCGCGGCTACGCCCTGCTCTTCAGAAATTATTCTGTAAAAACCTTCGGAGGGTCAATTTGGCCCATGGGCGCATGGTAAGGCACGGGGAGGATGAATCCGAGACTGATCAGACATCCATATGCGGTAACAAGCTGTGCATCCTACGCTATTTCTTGCACGTGCTGCTCTATCTACATGATATCATGATCACCGGTAAGATCGGACGCCATCGGACTGTCGATGACGTCACACTGGGCACGCTGATATGGTATTACGTAAAGCGCACATGCAACTGTGGAACTTTTCTGGTACTTCATTTGTTTGCGTAATGGTATTCGCCCAACCATGGCTACATCATTTAAGGGGCGACATGCATATGTACGGAGGGTCATATAAAGCTTGCAGATATATGCCTGGATCCCCAAGGTGGATCCAGAATCTCACATAGTTCCATGTTTATGTAATCGTGGGAATGGATCCTGGGTCTTTTTTTTTGGGGGGGGGGGCTTCAAGCGCATGCCTGATGGCCTGATTATGTTTCATCATTCGAGGTCTGGCATTGCATTTACAATGTCTAAAATAGTGAAAAGGGCCGTATAATACAACACGTATCACCGATGAAATCATGTAACGTTGCACATTTAAACAAAATGTCACAAAAAAACGTTTCGCTCCAATACCATGTAACTCCTCCCGTGTCTCCAAGCGCCCGGCATAAGATGCCTCTCGGTGCGCCCAGACCCGCTGAAACGTCCGAACATCGCGTGACCACTAAAGTATTCGTAAACATACGTGGTGTCATGTTCGTCCCCATAGCCCAGTTGGTTAGAGCGCCTGTCTTCCAGTCCACCCACCTGTAGCGGGTGGGTTCGAATCGCTATAGGGGCTCGCTGTTTGCCCCTGACAGATATGACCTACGGACAGTGACAGCGGCCACGCTAAAGGTCAGGTGGGGTCAGACGGAAGGACGGACATTGCGGCGCGTTAAGCTTTCGCCACCAAATTTGGTCGTTAACCTGGGATTGTATGGTTGAATGATAAGAGTCGGGGCTTACGCAAAAAGCACTGCTTAGCGTGTGCTCTGATCCCAGAAATCCATCCATTTCAAAGGTTCGGATTAAATATTCAAAAACACGCCCACTGATTATGAAACAAAATGGCCATGTCTCACCTTATACCGACACAATTATGCGGAAAAATGCTTCAAACCCACGCGCGTTTGCTCAACATTGTATTACGACTCAATACAACTGGCTTATGCTGCAGCCTGACTCCGGCTGAGGTACAAAGCCACAACCAACAGCAAACTTCGCACATGTACATACGACACAACAGCAACGTAGTCAGCTGCATTGAAGCATCGGCAATGACTCGGACAACAAAACCAGCGTCAACTTTTATGTAACAATGCCACTTATCAATCCACGCTGACCATCCAAAACATCCTCAATTCCAGTACCGCCGACTTCATGCGCAGCCACGTAGCCTTGGAGGGCTTGCGTTCTCCGCGGGGTCCGGCCTCGGCGTCCTACAGTCTCCCATTCTCCAGCGCGCCCTCTTAGCACAGCGTGGCGCCGCCGGCCCGCGTGTCGGCTCCCTCCCCTCCCGTGAGCCCCCACGCCGCTAGAACTGGAGGTCGGGGTGTCGAGGCGTAGCTAGTGGCCGGCCGGTCCGAGACAGCCCGCCGCGCCACACCCAGCTCGCCGCGACACGCCGGCTCCGCCCATCACCCGCAGCCGTCCTGCACGCCGGCTCCGCCCATCACCAGCAGCCGTCCTGCACGCCGGCTCCGCCCATCACCAGCAGCCGTCCTGCACGCCGGCTCCGCCCATCACCAGCAGCCGTCCTGCACGCCGGCTCCGCCCATCACCAGCAGTCGTCCTGCACGCCGGCTCCGCCCATCACCAGCAGCCGTCCTGCACGCCGGCTCCGCCCATCACCAGCAGCCGTCCTGCACGTTCTCCTTGTAGTCGAGCTGGTGCGTGTTCAGACCCAGCTGGTCGGCGAACTGCCGCAGCTCCTGCAGCCGCTCGGCCGGCAACTGCGGCGTGCGGCTGATGAAGTGGATGCAGTAGTTGACGCCGAACAGGCCGGCACTGCAGTCGTACTCGATGGCGGCGTCCTCGGCCAGCAGCACCAGGTTGTAGTCGGTCACAGGGAGCGAACGGAAAGCGGAACTGCTGCGCGAAGTTGCCCGGCGTGCCGGCGTAGCGCAGGTCGGCGGTGATGTTGGTGAAGGCGCCATCTACCGTCTTGTGTCGGCACGTGTAGGTCACCTCGCCGTCGCCCAGCTGCCGGCGGCGGGACGCGGTCAGCGGGCAGCCAGCCGCGGCGGTGTGAGAACGACAGAGCGCCGCGTGGCGCGAGCTCGCGAGAACGACAGGAGCGTCGCGTGACGAGAGCTCGCGAGAACGACAGAGCACCGCGAGCTCGTGAGAACAACGGAGCGCCGCGTGACGCGAGCTCGCGAGAACGACAGAGCGCTGCGTGACGTGAGCTCGTGCACGCTCCTCACCGACGATGAAGCGACTATGCCTACAACTTCACCACACTATATGACCGGTGAAGTTGACTTATTCACGAGGCACGGAAGAGCAGTATTACGGAAAATGAACTACACTACATTCATTTGCTGCTAGACTGCCACTGAAGAGCACCACAAACATCCGTGTCTAAAGGCAGAACATCGTATTTTGGCCAGACGGTCGGAACAGGCAAACCCGCTGAAGCTTACCACCATAGTGAGAAACACCATTCATAAACGTGCCTAGACAACTCTGTCAATATATTAAGACAAAATTCCGGACTAGTTACCTTTAAAATCACACCAATAACTCAAAAACCTAACAAAACAAAACAAAAAAAGACAAGAAAGAGCCTAACGAAGATTCTTACATCCACACCAGCCACTAAATATAACGCGGACCTGACCATCACCCTGACGCACCTGCGGCTCATCCGAGTGGAAGTTCAGCGCGTCGCACACGCAGTCCTTCTGGAAGGCGGCGCCGCCCGGCGTCTGGATCTTCCCCACCTCGTACCACATGCCCTCGTAGCCGGCGTTCGTGAAGTTGGCGTCCGTCACCGGGTGCATGCACTGGTCGGCCGTCGCCGCCAGCGGCAGCAGCGGCAGCAGCAGCAGCACCAACATCGCGAGGCGGACTCGGTTCGGCAGTGGCGCGAGACGCGGCGGCGGCGGCGGCGGGTGGGAACGCGACGCGCGAGGGACGGCGGTGGAAACGGCGGCGGTGGCGGGCGGCCCTTATACACGAGCGGCGTTACGTAACGGCCGATAGGCGCGCCGCCAGGTGGCCGACTCCCGCCGCGGCCCGTGGGAGCCGCGCCGGTGCTCGGCCACCCCCAGCGCCCCCTGGCCGGTGCGCACGGACGTGCACGACACGACCGGGCCGCCCGCGTACTGCGCGAGGTCAGGGTACCGGAAATGCGTCTGAGCGTCGGGGCTCTCGTGCGTGATGGACGCTATAGCTTGCAATGTTTGTATATGTTATAAGCTCTAAGGAGCTGGCGACAGGGGGAAAACAAGACGGGACTCAAAATACGCCGTTTTCCGCGTGACGACTGCGTGTTTCATCAAAAGCTTTCTGGCCACCTCTGTTTCAATCGCAAGTTATCACGGGAGGCAGATCACAGTTGCCATCGATTAACTGACGATACTCTATGCCCACAGAACTTAAAAACCGCATACGCCGACTAGAAAAATTGCCAAACCGACTGGCATCACTGAACCATTTTGTTTGCATGTAAAATAACGTTGGATATTTATGTGGTATATTATATGGACCCTCCATTTGTCAACTTACCCTACAGCCTACGTGTACTAAGTTGTAATTGCGCCGAGGCACTAAGCCACAGCCAATAGCAAGCTCGACACACGCATCACTCGCTTAATTGAGGTACTAATGACAGCAATTCCACGAACTGGGGCCATAGCCATAAAACCAAAACGTCGTCAATGACGGCACTTCGCCTGAAATAACAATTAATCGCCATCACACGCAAGCTGCAAAAATACATCTATAAAAGGACACAATATCCAAAGAATATACCCACCACGCAAACTGTTCCAAACAGTCTGCCATCACGGATGTCGGAGACTCGTGTGAACAGCGTGTCCAGCGACGGTACCATACGCTGTACCCTAACGACCTCGGGTCACGCGGGGCTTGACATCGTTCAGCGGCCCACCGTGGATAACTGACCAGCCAGACCACGTCACAGCAAGGCACTCATCCGTCACTATGACGAATGGAGCGCTTTGAATGCGTGCTTTTCTCGCGAATCTTTGTTTACGTCGACCACGAGCATCGTTCTGCATTTGAATGAGTTTTTAGTGCACAGCACAGGACAGTTAGAAAGCTTTGTGGTTCAGGAGCACATAACCGTTCATACCGAATGAAGCTCAAGAATACCCCTGCATTTGAATGGGTTTTTAAGCGCGCAGTACAGCATAATGAGGAAGCTTTATGGATCGGAATCACACAAGCAGTTAATCGCATGCTGATATTTCTCACAGCTTTCCGAGGAGACAATTGCCGACTGCGCGTCCAAGCCCGGTGGGTTCACGTTCATTTCTTAGATCATTCAACCGATAGCCAACCGATTACGGTCCACAGAGCGTAAGAACAAATACAAACTTGGCATTCTCAAGCGTGAATTCCACATCAGCTCCCAGAACGCTGCGGACAAAAACAGCCACTTTTCTCTCCTCGATGGGATTACTTTTAACGTTTACTTGTCCAAAAAGAAATTGTACCGTTCTTATCGAAACGAAAGTGAGACGGTTCTGGTGGACGAGTCACGGCACACGTAGTAGATGCCACGAAATGTGGCCGAGCCAGATAACAGCATTCGTTTTGCGGGGGACTGCTTTGAACCACCGCTGACTCCCACTGCGCGGCTGCAAGCTATCACACTATACTTAACGTTAACCGCTGACATACCGTGAAGGTCAAAGGAAAAGCCACGTCCTGATACACAGAGCCTAGAAGGGCGCGATTTGCTTGCATACCGCTGACTCATGGCAAGATAACACTACTTGCTCGTAAAATATGCAATATTCGCGAATGTACATGAAAAGTTATACGGAAAATGCAATACATGCTTACCTGTTAACTAGATGAGAAGGCTCAGGCACGCCACGTCAGTTCCAGTGGATGTACACGGCATTGGTCCCAGCACCGTGACTGTCATTGACATACCAATCGGTCACGCAATGCGTTGGGGACCATCAGCACGCGCGCTGGGACTCCATCGGACAAACGTTGTTAAATAACACAAGGCGACTTCTCGGCTGTGCGAAAAAGGCGCTGGAAAAAGCAAAAGAAAATACGCCACCTCCACCGAAGATCCATTCTTCAAATCCCGTCCCAGCTCGTCCTTTCACAAATATGGCACATCAAATGCACCGTGAGTGAAATAAGTCACGTGGCCGTAGCCCGTTGGTGGCTCATTGTTGTCTTTCTCGGTTTGGTTGGAGTAAGAGCCCTTCGGTCAGCACTGACCATCTCAGGGCTGCGCGGTTAAGAGGAGAGGTCGGCGATGGGCCAAGACTACACTTATCTAGGAGACACCAGTTCCGAATCGGGACGGTAGTGGTGGTCACACGGCACATGGGGCGGTGCCGGAATTCAGCGTGAAGCGATGAGCGAGTATAACACAGTACGGACTGTTCGCCCGGATCTGAATATGGAGCTGGGGTCATAAGCCCGGACAGGAATATAGAGTACCGGTTATCGGCCCGAACACTAATAAAGAGTGCAGATTACTGGCCCCGGTGCGAACAAAGAGTCGGATTTTTGCCCCGGATACGAATGTACAGAACGGACTATTGGTCCGGATACGAATATAGGGTACAGATTACTGGTACGGGTACAAATAAAGATTGCGGATCATTGATCCGGATACGAATAAAGAGTACGGATTATTGGTCTGGATACGAATATAGAGTACGGATTATTGGTCTAGATACGAATATAGAGTACGGATTATTGGTCCGGATACGAATATAAGTACGGATTATTGGTCCGAATACGAATATACCGCATGGGTTATTGGCCCGGATACGGATATAGAGTACGAATTATTGGCCCGGATACTAATAACGCGTGTGGATTATTGGCCAGATACGAATATAGAGAACGGATTATTGGCCAGGATAAGAACGTACAGTACGGGCTATTGGCATATGCCGACGGCCGGGAGCAGCACGTGAACACGAGTCATGCGGTCCCACCACCCTAAGACATTCACAACGCCCCGGCCTGCCATCAGCAGTCTCCGAGTCAGCGCCCGCTCCACATCCACCAGCCTCAGTCCCGCACCCTCTCCCAGCCGCCGCCCGACCCAGCTGGCTCGGCGGCGCTGACGGCGGCGCACGCCGGCCGATCGGCGCCGAGCGAGCGGCATCGGTGACTTCTGTCGCAGCACCGCGGGCGGCACGGCCCAGGCCACCGACTTGAGACGGCTCACGGCAAGAAACTCCTCCGACGCCCGGTCAGTCGAGGGGAAGTCATCCACCATCGACAGCCGGCAGCGAGGCCCCCCCACCCGACAGAGGCCACACCCCGTCCCTGTCCTAGCTCGGCGCGCTCTGCCGGCCCCGGAGCCGGGCCGGCCCCGGCACCGGCCTCGGCTGGGCCCACGCCCCGGCCGGCCGGCGCGCGCGTACCTTGTTGTAGTCGCAGCACTTCCAGAAGAACACGAGCAGCTCCTGGTGGGCGTGCACCTTCTTGGTGGAGTGCGGCAGGTAGGTCTGCGTCAGCGGGTTGTTCAGCAGCCGGGTGAAGCCTATGGAACGCCACGGGACGCAGCTCAGCGGCACCGACGGGGCCTGCCTGCCTGCTTGTCGTACAGGCGGCACAAGGAGCCGGCAGACGAACGCGGCGAGACAGACAGCACACGGCTGTAGGGAACCAGGAGCGCTTCACCGAGCTGAGAGTAGCGTGAGCATTGAATGGCATGTGTGTGTGTGTGCGTGTGTGTGTGCGTGAGGGGGCGGGGGGAGAAGGGTGCAGCAAGACGCGATAGTAGCGTCTGAGGTGGGAACCGTCTGCCGACTTTCACAAGCCAACCGCCTGAGACCCGGCCACCCCATCGCCTGCAGAGACACCCCAGCGCGGTCGCGACCGAGCCTGAAGCCCGAGCCAGTACAACGAGGCCAGCCACTCAGCGCCGACGAGACACCGGGCAGCACGACAGCGAACGTCTCGGCCACGGCTTCCCCGCGGGAGATATCGATACCCGCCCGCTGCGGCACACCGCAGGGTATCCGGAGGCGTCAGCGCCCAGGACGACGGCACGAACCCACCAGACACTTGGCAACATGACGCGGCGCGCGGCCCAGCCCCCACGCACCCTTCAGGATGAAGTCGAAGTCCTCCTCGCGGTGGATCCTGGACAGGTAGTTGATGAAGAGGTTGTCTGGAGAGCCCTGCAACGCCGTCCGTAGGCACGTGACCCGAGGGCTGAAGCGATTCGAAGGTGTGCAAAGGTGAAAACGACGGGTGGTCACGTGACAAGACATAGACGCACGTGGTGTTTACGCCCACGTTCGGTGTCGCGGACGCTCAAGTGCTCAAACAGCACGTGAAACGGCGCTGAAGCCAGCTGTCGCCTCTGACGTAGAGCCCAGCTGCGATTCTCCACTAATAGCCCAATATATGGGCCCCATCGAGGTCAAGACATCGCCTACAGAAGGTCACCCCCGCAGAGACGCCATTGGCAGAGCCCCAGCACTAGTCCAAGCCTTCCACACGAGCCGACCCACCGACAGAGCGCCGGCGATCCCCGACCTCCCGCCGGCCCGTGACGTCACGGCCGACGTCACACAGCAGGGGGAGGGGGAGGGGCTGACCTCGTCGTCGGCGCGGCCGGCGGCCGAGTCGTGATCGAGCGTGACGATCAGGATCTGCAGGGCCGTCTCCATCAGCGCCTCGCGCTTGTCGTTAAACAGCAGGTGGTTGTAGGGTAGCCCTGCGACGGCGCCGGGACGTCAGCGTCACTCTCCACGGGAGGCGGATCATGCTCGCGCGCGCGCGCCGCGCACCACCGGCCGACGTGGGATGCACGAATGCTGACCAGAACACTTCTAAACAAAGATACATAGCGTGGTTGCGTCAGCCGTTTGAAGACCCCGGGAAGTAGCGTAATAATAATCATTGTCGCTTTACGTCTCACCGACCGCCGGCCCATTTCAAGACGGGATGGAAGAAGCACAAAGCATGATGATCCAAGTACGCTAAGAATCAGCCAAAGGTAACGAGAGCCAGCATCCAGCACTGTGATCAAATGACGCCGACCAAGCCTGACACGCTGTCGCTTGGCCCGCCACCTGGACAGCACCGGCGTGAAGCATCGGTAATCTCTGCACGTCACCATCTGCGCACATCCCACCACCCCACAACCACAACCACCCCACCACCCAACGCCGCCCCCCTCTTCCCACAGTCGCGGCCGGAGGTCTCTCCACGCTCGTCGCTCCGGTCCTACCGATCCCGACGGGGTCGTAGGCGCAGACGAGATTCAGCAGCGAGGTGAAGAGCGGCAGCGCGTGTCGGTTCTCCGACGACGTGAAGAAGCGCACCCACCGGTTGGGCCCCGCCTGGCCGGCGTCTGAAGCACAGCAGCGCGCGCGTCACGTGCGGCTGCGACCGGCTGCGGCCGGCTGCGGCCGGCGACGGCCGGCGGCGGCCGGCGGAGCGGCGGAGGAGCGGCGGCGGAGCGGGGGAGGAGCGGTGGCGGAGCGGTGGCGGAGCGGTGGCGGAGCGGCGGAGGAGCGGCGGAGGAGCGGCGGAGGAGCGGCGGCGGAGCGGCGGCGGAGCGGCGGAGGAGCGGCTCGGAGAGCGAATGAGAGGGAGAGAGGGAGCGGCAATCTCTGAGGGAGCAGGTCACTGAGGGAGCGCTGAGGGAGCTCCGCAGGTCACGGGCGGCGGTGGGCAGCTCTGCCGCTAACCTGACCTGACCGGCGCCGGCCCGGGTCAGGCCTCACAGGCAGAGGACGAGGAGGCACTCAGACCCGAGAGGTGGCGAGACCCAGCAACGGCCAGCTGGATGGTGCACGTCCGCACGCGCGTCGACACCGATAGATCGCGACCAAGCAACAACGTCAGATGCAAATACTGCGTAGCGCGCTCGATACACCGTCACCGCCTGGTTCAGGATCCTCCCGTAGCTTGCAAGAATCCCTGAACACGCACTTCTAGCTTTACTGAAATTCCTCCCGAATGCAACCTATTCCAAAAATAATGACCGAAACCCGTGACCGCAGGCGCGCGCAACACCCTCCCTCGGTCACTCCATACCCTACCGCCTCAGTCCCTACCACATCCCGCACCTCCACGGCCACACGGCCGGCGCTCGGTCGTGTCCCGCCGCGGTGCCTGGCCTGAGCCCACCCCTCCGGCCACCCGGCGCCGGGCCCGCTCACCGGTGGGGGGCAGGTACATGGTCTGCGAGAAGCACGTGAGCAGCAGCTTGAGGATCTCGGTGCGGTTGGCGTCGTGGCTGGAGTTGTGGGTGACGGTGCTGGAGAAGCCGACGCCGGCCTCCCAGATGTACTCGCAGCTGTCGATCGACTGCACGTCCTCGTGCTGGTCCTGGCGGTCACGGCGGCGCCTGTCAGCCGCTGGCCGGGTCGTCCCACACGACATACAGACGCAGACAGACACGCACGCACGCGGCACCGGCCGCCAGGGGCCAAGGGTCGAACAAGGGGTCAGAGGTCAGACGGGGTCAGGGGTCAGACGGGGTCAGGGGTCAGACGGGGTCAGGGGACAGACGGGGGTCAGGGTCAGGGGTCAGACGGGAGTCAGGTGTCAGACAAGGGGGTCGGGGGTCAGACAGGGGGGTCGGGGGTCAGACAAGAGGGTCGACAGGGGGAGGCAGGAGTCAGACAGGGGGTCAGGGGTCAGACGAGCGCGACGCGCGGCAGCACCGAGACCAGAAACGAACACCGACGGCCTCCGCGCACAGCGGCCTGGAGACCAGCTGGGAGCCTCCGCACAGCGCGCCACCATAGAAAGCCACCGACGACATCGCAACGCGACCACCCGCCGCCGACGCCTCGCCAGCGAACTGGTCACCCCTCCGCCGCCGCCACCCGGCGGCCGCGCGCCACTGACCGGGCCGGCGCCGGTGCGACTAGGCGTGACTGTGAAGTCGGGGCAGAAGAGCAGGTCGCAGAGCGCCACCGTCAGCGTCTGCGCCAGCGGCGGCGCGTCGGCCACGCCCTCCGGCTCGGCCGGCCGCGCGCTGCTCCAGAAGAAGCCGCTCCAGTCCGAGTCCTCGAAGATGTACGGCAGCAGCCGGGTGAGCACGCGCACGCAGTTGAGCACTGCCGGCCGGGGGAGCCGTCATGGCTGGGGCGCCGCCGCCGGTGACGCCTTCGGCACCCGGCGCTTCGCGCAAGCGGGCGCCCGCCGCATGCGTGACGCCGGCGAGCCTCCCGGACGGGGGAACGGCGCGCCAGGGCCTCACACCGTCGCTCAGCCAGACCCCGCGCGCTGCTCTGGTCACATCGACACAGCACCGGCGCCACGCCCCCCCCCCCCCCCCCCTCTTCCGCCCATCCCCGGCACCACGGCACCACGGCACGCCCTTCCGTGATGCCCTTGAGGAGGTTCGGCGGGAGTGTCTGCCGCTTCAGCCGCGTGGAGCTGGTTACAGCTGTGTTGTTTTTGCCCGAGATCTGTTTACCAGCGTGATGTTATTGCAGCTGTGTGGAACTACTTACGTAAACACCCGTGTTCCATTACTGCTAAATCTAACTGCCAGTCGGTGTTTTCTCCGTTAGTCAGCGCACTGCTCCTCACTCCTTCAGTTGTTCTGTTAAGAGCTATCCCAGTCCTATCCCCGGGAAGCAGACTGCACCCAGGACCTCCGTGGAAACGTTCACCAGTTGCCGTTGCCGGCGAGCGGCGCTGGTTACCTGTGTGCTGTTCCTGCTGCGTGGAGCAGCCCGTCTCGGAGGCTTTGAGCAGCTTCTCGACGGCCTTGAAGCAGACAGTGGCCATGTTGGAGGGCATCTCCTCACGCAACGCGCGGATGTCGGCCGGCGGCGTCTGGGCGAATACATCCTCCACCGACGTCACCGACTCGGACCAGAACTGGTCCCAGAACCGGTCATCGGAAGGGTCCACCGGCTGCCGACGCGGGGCATCGGGTCAGGTCACCAGGCCGTCAGGACAGGTCACCAGGTCACCAGCAGAGCATGACAGACACTTTTACCGTCCTCTTGCATGGCAGACACTGTTACAGCTCTGTGCAGACACTGTTACCACTCTGTGTGGTAAGGAAAACACTTAAAGCATCCTGTAGCATGGCAGATGACTGTTACCACTTGACCATTATTTCTTATGATTAAATATTCATTCTCATAACCAATCTACTTACACTGCAGGCACATGGTTGCACACTAAAGCTCTGACAAAAACACTCGGTCTACTGGGCCTACAACCAAATGATCAAAACTTGTGTGGATTTTGCCTAGCACTATGCACTATTTTTTAAACAAAGTTGTTGTTAGACAAGGCATGGCAATGGTGGTGAACAACCAACCTTCCTAGATTTGTGGACAAGCCAATTACACAGGTCATGCAGAATCATCCACCATCAGACACTCCTGTTTTCATCTGCTTTCTAGTTAGTGTAAAAGCAGAGACACCAAGCTTTACCTGAGCCTTGGATGTTAACTGCATCAAAGCCTGGCGAAAACTGGCCTTTGAGTCTGCATTACCCATGATTCTTACACAGAAGTGTCAACAACTTTCTTGGCTATCAACACTGAAAGGAGGTAGACAAATGAACATTAGCTTAATGGTTGACAAACAGAGGCCAATTTCATTAAATACCATCATTCATGTTAACATTGTTTTCCCATTCATGCTCAGTGGCACATAAGGGGAGAGCTTATAGAGGCTACAATGCCTTCCTGAACAAATAAAAAACCAAGCCCCATGAAAAAACAAACCTCTTAAGCGGCCTCTGCCGATAACTAATGCACGCAAAACAACCCTGCTCATGTGGTCCATAGCATACTTAAGTGAAGGGGCATACTTAAGTAAAACAGGAGACCTGCCCCTGGAATGACAACTTGGCCCCTATGGGACTATATGTGACCCAGCTGCCCACATCACCCCTTGGGTCACATGGTACTATATGTGACCCAGCCGCCCACATTATTACTGGGGCCACATGGGACTACATGTGACCCAGCTTCCCATGTCACTATATGGGCCATTTGGGACTGCATGCCACCTTTGGAAACATGAACATAACTGTTGGCTCTCTGATATCTCCATGGAGTTGAAATGGCACCTATGACATCACCCACAAGTTTCCTAGATCTGACAAGACTAATGAGATAAAGTCTCATGTTTTCACCAGAAGACTAGATGAAACCTGTGATAAAAAGGGGCCTTGGATGCAGCAAGTTCATGGACTTCCAGACAACCTATGCAGCTTGAGCCCTGGTGATGACAGAAGCTGTTAAACTGCACAGGGCCTGAAAGACTGAAAACCACAGGGCAAACTGACTGCAAGGAACACAACAATAGTGCAGTCACCATCACTGGCATATCATGACTTAATAATCAAGAAGCTGCTAATGGGGTTTGGGTTCACAACCTCCCAGTTCTAATGGCTTCTCAGAGCCATCACCTCCCCTAAAGCTATGGGATACAATCATGATAAACTTGCTCCAGCCAAAAGCGAGGCAGACCAAATTATGTAATTTTACATAAACTATGCAGCATAAAATATACCTTGGTTTGTTAGGAAGGTCTTGGTTGTTAACCAGTTGCTATTAGAGTGCCTGGGATGGGGTAACAAGGCATCCTCTAAGAGGGCTGCTGGTGTCACAAATGGTGACTTGCCTAAAAAGGTCTAATAAAACAGGAGACTAGGACTTAGGAGATCTAGCAAGGCAATGTCAACTATTTCCACAGCAATGCACAATAGGCAGATACTAAAATTCTGAATGCTGACACCTCCAGTTTTGAAGCAAAACATTCATCAAATTTCATGATTGCATCTTTCAGTGCAAGTCTGTCTGAAACTAGCAACCATCTTTGTCTTTGAAGTGAGATTCTAGAATTGTTGCATATATATATATATATATATATATATATATATATATATATATATATATATATATATATATACATCAGTGACCAATCAGGACATGAGTTTCATGTCACAAGCCAGCAGACATGAAAACATCTTGACCAGAAATCCATTGAGCACAGCAAGACAGGTGGATATATCAGGAGATAAAACAGTAAGGTAAGGAAAAAGCTCGCTTATGACCTGGACAAATTGGTGCCCACCAGGCACTACCTACCAGTATACATATTACTGTTGCAATTTGGGATGCTTGACATCTACCTGTGGTTTCTTAACACAAACAGATATTATCCATGGCATTGCCCATATGGACCAAGCAGGGGGAAAGCCTTTGTTGACATATTTGGGTGAGGGGAGCTAACCCCATATTTGGAGGGGTGGGGGGGTGGGGGGGCACCAGAATTTCTCCTGGCCCCCTCCCATGTTTTAGCATTGGGGTCAATATGTGCTTAAGGGCATGAATGAATAAAACACATGCAGGGGGACAGCCCTCCCACAGAATCCAATTCCCACGCACGGTGCAAAGTGCGAAGTATGTCTTGACACCCATCTGGCCTATTGGGAGCGCCGGCTTCCGCCTCAAATTGCGTTAGGAGCCCCGTTCCAGTAGTACATCACCCTTCTCTAGAGCCCACGTCTGACACAACCGCCGTTCCACCTAACTCGCAGAAGCTACGGATGCACCCAGTCACACACGGAAAGTCAACACGGCCTTGTCTCCACGAGCAGGCCAACAGCAGAACAAACGCGGCCTTGAACACAGTATGCGAGCGTATGGTACGAATTTCTTGCACTGCCATCTAGCAACTGAAGAAGAAGTTTGGCTACCGATACCGGCCAACGCAGGACACATCGCCTTATTAACAACCATGTGGCGGGCCAGCATTGCGTGATACGTAATTCGTTTCCAAGTACCTTTTATGGATTTAGGTCATTGCTTGGCTTGCAGTTTTAATGCCCTTGTGTTTTTATTCCTTGAGAAGCAATCTTGACGTGAATCTTTTATAGTCTGCGCGTATTTTATTTCTAACCACTCTGCCTGCAGTTCCGGAATTCCTCTGTGGAATGTGCTACATTAGCCGATTTATGCCAGATTTATACCAGGGCCGATTCATGCCAGCTGGGTCATGCATTGTCTTAGTTCCCTTAGATACACATTGCACTTTACGGTGTGTAACAGCCGCGTACCAGACCGGATTGCGCCAAATGTCATCACAATTGCAGATGACGTCTATCTGGCTGCCAAATGCCCAATCGCGCGTCCAGGGAACAGACGAGCTCTCCTCATCCGTAATACGCTTAAACATCGCTGCACGCGTCATGTGCGAAAATTTGTCAATCCACCCATCGCAATCCACAGCTCACGGCCGACTGAATAACAGCATATGGATATGGATATGGATATGGATATACAAATAATAACGGATATGGGCGCGCGCGCAACTGCTTGATTCGCCTCAGCCGAGCTGTTTCGACATTATATGTTGAAGCAATAGCTGAACGCGCGATTCCAATTCAAATGACTGACACACTGGTGTGAGATGTTGCGGCATGTCGTGCGGGCGGATTATAGTAGCACCCTTTTAACACGCGCTCGGGCGGGAGTCAAATTGCCCCCCCACCCCCGAAGGTTTTTCCGAAATGGTTTCCAAACAGCGTGGCGTAGCAGCGCCAAATTTTGCATAACTGTACACAGTTGAATAGTGGATCGTCTGAAATTTAGTCAAAGCCTGGCGTCAAAAATTTAGATCTACCTTCTAAGGTTGCCGACCTATAGCAGGTCAAAGTCAGTTCATAGTTTCAGCGAACGCAACATCTAGGGAATCGTTCAATCTGATCCAACAACAGAATGCTAGACGAAACAATACATCTCTGAAATACTTTCCTAGGCAACATAACAATTGAATGAACAAATTACATTGACCTATGGTCAGGTGTGAAGGTTATCCCAAGGTCAAAATCAACCTGTTTTATTACTGTAGGGCTTGCTGTATGGGGTAGTTCCTGGTGCTCATTTCATATTCATTGATGACAAGAACCACATTATACACCTTCCATGGACTTCTTAAAGGTCAGAATAGGTCACCGACCTTAAACGACCTAGATCAAAATTTTGCTTTAAGGAACATACTGCCTAGCGTAATCTTTGTTGCCTATTCAAATGTCAAACTCCGAGCAGTCTTGTATGATTTCAGTCATCATGGCCTTCAAAAGATCAAGCAAGGTCACTGAGCTTAAACGAACATGTAAACTTTTGCTTAGGGCAGTTACCTAGGTTCTAGGGGCCTTTAGAAACCAACCTGGAATTTGACCTTGTTTTACCTTATTAGAGACCCGAAGGTCATAACCTAAGAACCTCAAACTTTGACCTGAGTGATTTCACGTACAGATCAATACACCCTATGAATTTCGGATCTCTAGCTCTCTTAATTCCTAAGATTTCAGGGGGTCAAATTGACCCCCCACAAACCGACCACCCGGCGTGCGTTGTAGTTGTTGTAGTTGTTGTAGTTGCGTTGTAATGTAGTGCACCCCTTGCATTACTCCAACTGGCGAGAGAGACCTGAATACCATTCTGACATCTGAACACATGCTGTACTGAAATAATGTGCAAACAGCTATCTGGAGGAAATGAGCCAAGCGCCAGAAACCAAGGACCGAACTGAAGCTCAAGTTTTTGATCCGATACATTTACGTTTACCGATGCAGCGTACCTCAGACACCAGTCCGGATAAAGTGACACACACTTATTAGATATAAACACACTTTGCCGAGAATATCGGTTAGGCTCCAACACCTTAATACAATTAATAGAGTCATAAGCTGCTATGAGACGCTGCGACACTCGAACAAACGCACTGTAGTAGTGCCCTCTTAAAGTAGTGCACCTTTGGTATTATTCCGGCTTGTATGGCATGAATGCTTCGCTAAAATCGAAACATATACCATACCAATATGACATGCGAACACATCCGAACAGCTTACCTAAGAAAAGCAGCTAAGCATTAGAAAACGAATACCGAACCAAAGCCCACGTTCATCGTACGATCCACGCACCTCATTGGTGCAGCACATCTCGGAAGCGAGTTCGCATAATGCGATTCACAGTGCTTAGGTGTGAGCGCATCGTGCCGAGAATGTCTTAAAGGCAGTAGCTTCAGCACTTGAATTTAGTTAAGGGAAGCGTGCCACATTTCTACGAGTTTTGAACTGAAACAGTCATCTTGAAAAACTTTTGATGCAGTTCACAGTCCTGCCCCTCTTTAGACCTAAACCCCTCTAGCTTCCAGGCTATACGCCTTAGAAAATAGGCGTACATCGTCTTGCGGCGATCAATGCTGATAATGGTATGATGGTCGAGTCGTTCGTATCTGGCGTTCGTGAGCACGATTTACAGATATAAAGGACGTCAATTGACTCTCGATCATTGTTGTGTAAGGTGCAATGACGCAAAGTGTACCAACACTTATAAGTGAGCTTGCTTCATCATATCTGATGCCTGATTCAATATCTTCAAAGTGAAACATTCCGTTGATATGACTCATACCCTGGCGCGAGATGCACCAGCATGTCATACTGTCGGACTGCGGTTGTGCCCTCTTAAAGTAGTGCACCTCTTGTGGTTAGCCGATTCGTCAGACTTGGAACATTGTTCAACCATGATAGCAACTCTTTGGAAATGTATCCAGGTCACACAACCTGAACTGATACAAGAGGCGCGTGGCCCGCGGCGTGTCTATCCGCCGCGGTCCACGTACCGTTGGGTTTTTAGTGCGAGTAGGGTATTCTTTTAACGTGTGTGCTTTTGTAATCTCGGGTACGGGACTGAAAAGGTCAGCTTCAGATGCGGCGCGCGGCGTATCAATCCGCCAAGGGCCACATGCTGTTTTTTCGAGGTGTGAGTACGGTTTTTGTTTGTTACGTTTGGCCCGAGCACTTGCTCTGGACATGCGCGCCAGGACGATCAACAGGCCCTTTAAAACGCCCACCCCGTCGGAGCAGACACATGTTCAAGCAGTTCATGGGCAGGGTCAGACAGCACAGTAACAGTGAGAGTCGGCTGTGGAGCGACGTTGGGGCGGACGCGGTGATGGGAGACCGTATCAGCCTGGCGCGCCGACGGCCGGGCGCTCGGCGCCTTCACCTCGGCAAAATGTAAGCCTGGCGGAGGAACCGCCGACCCTTCGGCGATTCTGAGATCCCCGGCTCCTTTTCCTTCTTAAAGACAATCAAGAAGACGCCCTCTGCAGTTTTCTTTTTTTTGTTGGGATTACGTGCTCGCACATTAATTTTGATCTGCTATGCGTCGTGCACTCTTTTCGTGCTTTCACTGCATCGTGGTTATTAGCATATCTAACATGCAAATATTGTCGCTAATGTGCGCTGTTCAGTGGTGTGCTGACTCCTGCCTGGTACTGCTATACGCTTAAATGAACAATCTGTGGAAACATAGCAGATCAATGAATAATGTGAGGCCTGAATTTTGTGCAATGGGACAGAACGTGTCGTGGTCAGATATATCCTTTTGGCGTTAACATCTCTATCTCGCATAGCTCATACACTGCGCGCAGCTCGAATTTTCCGCGAGTGTAATGAGGAGACCTTTGTCACCAGGGGCTAGATGCGTCACAGATGATTTGCGTCATCACTCCTCGCGGAGAGCGATGGAGAAAAGTTCTGCGCAGCACGAAGCCAGTTGTCTAGCCGTGGGTTGAAAGGTCTCACTCCCCACAGAAATGAGGAAGTTGGCTGTTGGTTGTTCCCTCCGCGACTCACAGATGAGGTGGGACGCATTTTTGCACGTCGCTGGCCGTTAGTGAGGGTAGCAGCAGCACGTGTAGGGTACAGTTGATGGATTCGCGAGTCGCAGAATGTGAGATTCGCTTTTCAGCTGCCTTCTCGCGACTCCCAGAAGGTAGAAGTCGGAAAAGGGCGTTGGGCTGTGGGAAAAAGTTGGCTGATTTTTTGCGTTGCTGGATTGGCTTGCGGCCACAGACAGGGGCCCACTAAGATGACTATGAGGAAGCCGGCCCTTAGCACCGGCAGTGAATTCGGTCACTGGGCGTACCATCGGTAGAATATTTCCAGTGGTCTCAGAAGGCCAGGTTCGCACACATACGTCATTTGAATTGGATTCACGCATTCAGGTTGCTGCTTCTACATATATTTTCGCATGTTGTGCTTGCGCCAGCTAATTCGGATTCGTATTATCCAGGTTTTTTATGGACTCTCTCTCTCTCTCTCTCTCTCTCTCTCTCTCTCTCTCTCTCTCTCTCTCTCTCTCTCTCTCTCTCTCTCTCTCTCTCTCTCTCTCTCTCTCTCTCTCTCTCTCTCTCTCTCTCTCTCTCTCTCTCTCTCTCTCTCTCTCTCTCTCTCTCTCTCTCTCTCTCTCTCTCTCTCTCTCTCTCTCTCTCTCTCTCTCTCTCTCTCTCTCTCTCTCTCTCTCTCTCTCTCTCTATCCGGACTCTATGTATTTATCATCCGGAATTAAAATAAGACCATCATTTTATGTGATATATCATGTACGTATGTCGGTGAGCTGGTGGTTGTTTCACCCTTTTGGTACATCCTTGATGTTTATCTTCAAACTGTATGCCATTAACTGAATTGATGGGATCTTTCAATTATCGTAATACTAACGTGTCGCAGTTTTGTGAAAATGTTAAGCAATTTATCATACAAGCACTGTGAGCATCAATGGTCAGAACTACGATATCGCTAACGACTATGTCTATCATT